CAAAAGGTATGTCATGTCCCCAAGCCCTCCTGACAAAGCTGCAGGGCACAGAAGTCTGAGATTCAGAGACTAAGCAATGGACCCAAGTTCCAAAGCAGTCACAGCAGAAGACAGCTCTGAACCCAGCACCCTGGCATTTCCTGTGTCCCCTGCATCTTCCCTGGCTCCCAGGAGGTACTGCTGAAGCACAAGTCAGTGTGCCAAGGAAAGCAGACACTTTGAGTGTCACCTCTGGGAGGGGAAGTGCCTGCCTGCTGTCCATAATGCTAAGGATCTCTTGTCCTCTGGCCATTGGTGTCAGATCCAAACTCCTCCAAGCCTACAAGCCCCTGCCAGCTCTGGGTCCCTCTGACCTCTCTGACCTCATTTCCTCCCACATTCCCCCTGTCTGCCCCCGACTGCCCTTGCCAGTCACTTTCCTGCCTCCAAGCTTTTGTGCCTGATCTTCCCTCAGCCCTGAACACAACGCCCACGTCAGTGTGGCCTGCCCTTCCTTCATCCAGGTGTCTACCCTGAAGGCCCCTCCTCAGGGAGACTTTCCTGGATCATTTCGCCACTATGCCTCCCCCTACTTTATAATTCCTTACTTGCCTTTTTTTTTTTTTTTTTTGGCTACCTAGCATGTAGCACCATCTCACATTTTACTGCATATTCACCTCCTTATTTATCATCTGTGCTCCCCACTACAATGTGAGCCCTAGAAGGGCAGGAACTTCAGAGGCACTGGTCCCTGCTCTAGCCCTAGAGCTTAGTGCAGTGCTTGCACATCGTGGGTGCCTGACAATCAACAGTCACAAGGCTGAGGTGGAAGCATCGCTTGCGCTTGGGAGATCGAGGCTACAGTGAGCCGTGATGGCACCCCTGCACTCTAGGCTGGACAGAGCAAGACCTTGTCTCTAAATAAATAACAGTCACAGAAAGCAAGCCTGATTAACAGGACAAAGGGGAAGCCAGGGAGGCGGAGAAGCTTGTGACTTAAAGATTCACCCTGAAGGAGAATTCACTTACGGTCCTTTTTGTTTTTAATCAGAGCTTCGCTGACCTGTCTGGAAGAATGGCCAAGGCTTTGCCCACTTATTCCAGGATTTTCAGAAGCTTTTTCCTAATAAGAGAAATGTTGCCCTTCAGCTGAGTGGAACCACATTGCAGGCAGAGTCTCAGATGGGGGCAGGGGGCAGTATTTTAATAGTAGACGCCTAATCCTCCTGACCTAAAGACAGGCTGCCTCAGAGGTGTGTGAGTGACCTGTGAGGTCGTACAAGGCCCCCTGCCCTGAAGGGGACTCCATGCTGGGTTTAATCTTCTGTTGTCATCATCTTAAAATTTTTCACTTTCTCACAAGGGACCTGCATTTTCACTTTGTCCTGAATTCTGCAAATTATGTAGCCAGTTCTCTCGAAAGAAGGAACCAGGGGTGGAGCCTCAGGCTTTCCAGATGTTGGATCTTTGTGGAGAGAGGCTCTTGTGGGTGCTGCTCATGATCACCATTTGCGTTGCCAGTTAAATTCATCTTCTGTGCACCAGGCACTGTGTTAGATGCTGATAAGTGTAATGAATGAGGCTTGGCACCTGCCCCACAAGCTGCCAATCAAGAGAGCCTGTCAGATAAAGAGAGAGGTGACGCTGAGCTTGAGGGAATAACAATGGAGAAGATAACAGAGAAAATAACGATGGAGATCTGCAGTGGGCCAGGTGCTGTTCAGACCATCAAGCTCAGATCAACGCCAGGTCCCGGCCCCCAGGCCCACATTCCTACCTCCCTCCATAAAGCCTCTGCGGGGACACAAAGAAGGGCCGGGAATGGGCCCAGCAACATGGCTGGTCCTGGAAGCTCTAGATCTGGACCTGGCTGGGGCCCTGGTAAGTGGCTGGGAAGTTGACAGGCCTGTCCAAGGGGCTTCCTCATCTCCGAAACCTGACCGCTTTGAGGGTAAAGACACCCCGGAGGAGTTTGGACCGAGGGTGGCCTACGATCAGCTCTTTCGAGAGTCTTCTCTCAGCCACTGTGGCAGCACCTGGAAGAAGGAACAGAAACGGTGGAAAAGGAAGGAACTCCCCAGAGCGGGAAAAGAAATTCCTTTTAAAACATCTTTTTTGCTTCCCCGCCCCTGGAATCTCCATCATTCATTGAGAGATACTATAGCCAGTGATATTCATGTGACTCCTTCCATCCTTCTAACCACCTAAGAGTGTAACTCAGTTTTTCAGAAAAGGAAGCAGAGAAGCTCCGGGGGGGTTGGGGATTGCTTTGCCCAGGTTCCCCCCCCCGGGGAGTTGGTTTGGGAGGTCCCAACCGGGGCTTCCGGGGGCGGAAGGGGCTTCTTTCCCCCCGGCAAGGGGAAAGCCTCAGGCAGGCCATCTGCTCCGGGGCGTTTGCCCCGTGGGACCCCACCTTGGAGCATGGGAGGCAGTGGCCTGTCTCCTGGATCCCCGAAAGACCTTGGGGAGCCCTGGCGGCTGCCGAGGGGGCACGAGCTGGGCAGGAAAAGAGCCTCCAGCTCCCGGGCGCTCCACATCTGCACTGGGGGCTCCCGGCGCCTGCAGTCGTATCGCCGTGCGCGTTTCCGCCTCCTGGGGGCCGTGCCGAGCGGATGCTGCTGCCTGCGTGTGAACAGGGCTTGTTTTCCCTTCACGCCCTCGGGCTCCGTTTTTATGAAGCACTTCCTTCTGTTGGCGCTTTGGGAATATTCATTCTTGGCTCGCACCGCGCACGGTTGACAGTTGGGCTGGGAAATGTACCCGCGGCTTAATTAGGGCATCGCCAGACCTGCCAAGCTCCAGCTCCTCCCCTTCGCGACTGCCGCGACCCCAGGGACCCCCGGGACCCCCAGGGCCTGCCCCACGCTGTGGGAGGGCGCCTCGCTGCTCCTGAGGCTGTACCATCAGTGCCCCGCCCGTGTGCCTTGCCTCATAGAAACCTGTCCTGGCCCAGGCAGACCTATGACCTGTCCTACAGGTAAGCAGCCCTATTGCACGCCTTTGTTCTTTCTGTTGCTCCCTTTGGAATGCCCTCCGCTCTCCTCTGGGCATAGTCAGACCTCTCCTGCCCACAGACCACTCCAGATTCCTTCTACTCACCCTCCTTAAACCTACTGACCTGAAGCCTCACTGCTGCTGTGCCTCAAAGACTGCCCTGGGCAGACGGACCTACATGGGCCACCTGCTCTGTTTCTAGGCATCCTCACCTGGAATCCAGGAGGAGAGGCTCACCTGTAGGTTTCATCCTGTTTCTGAGGAAGCTGAAGGTAGCATTAACAGGAAGGCTGCCTTTCCAAGCACTGCAGAGCTGAAAATGGACAGCATCCACCTACACGGCCAAGGGCAAGATCAGGGAAAACCTCGCACCCCAATAGCCCAGAGGAACACCGCAGAACGAGGCTGGCTGGGTTGACTTTAAATGTCAAGCCAAAAAATAAATATTGAAAATTCAATGGCATGTGATATTAAAATCCCACTATAAAAAAAAAAAACTGGAAAAAATATTTGCAACACATATGGCAAAGGGTGAGTTTCCTTAAATGCTAAAGTACTCCTACAGTCAGCGGAAAATCAACAACCCCAGGGGAACACGAGCAAATAGCAACAGGCCGTTCACAGAACACAGCCCCAAATGTCTTCCTCAGAAATGAGATGTGCAACCTGCTGCATAATAACAGGAATGTGGAGGTGAAAAATGACATCCTGCTTTAGACTGAGTAGAGAAACACCTTCAAGAATGTGGCTCTGTTGGGGGCACCCACCAGCCTGGGTGGTGAGGGCCTGGCGTGATTTCAGTGACAGCCTGCACCGCAGGGGAAGAGCCTGGGTGAGGTTCTACCACTTACCAGTGGTGTGTCTGCCGGCAGCTTACATTCTCTGAGATTTGGTCTTCCCGTCTGTAAACTGAGGTCCTGGGAACTGGTGTTTCCTGGGAAGATGAAGGTGTGGTCAGGGAGGGAAGAATCAGGGAGAACCACAGAGGCTGAGAGGGCCCTGGGGGAAGGAGGAAGGGGTCCCAGTGGGGAAGGGTAGGGGCATGAGAGGGTGGGAGAGGAACTCTTGGTGGGGGGCAGACCCAGAATGGTGGAGGGAATGGGGTGAAAATGGAGTTGGCCTTGGAGACCACACCTTCAAGATTATTTGGTGGTAGAGGAAAGGAGAGAGCCTGCAGGAGGGATGGGATACAGATGGGAAGGTGACGAGGATGAGGCACGTGAGAGTATCTGAAGACTGTGAAAATGGCCTAGGCTCCCAGGCCCCAGCTCTGCAGCAGCATCTCAAAGCCTGGCCCACGATGAATTCTCCAGGCTGGCCTTGTTTTACGTGACCCAATCCAGCAGAAGGCCAGTTTGTGCCTGCAGGGCTGGAATGCAGCCAGAGCCCAATAGAGGGATGGGTCCAACCCAGCTTCCCAGGAATCGACTGGCGATGGTGGCATTTAACTCAGAGCTGTGAGGCCAGCAAGACCAGAGGAACAGCCCAGAGCATGACATGTGAAGGAAGAAGCAGAAACTCTGGCCAAGGAGAGGCCCAGCACCACGGCCAAGCAGCAAGGCTAATAGGAAAACGGATTCCAGGTTCAGAAGCTGGGAGGAAGCCTAAAATGTGTGCTCACGAAAAGGTGCCTGATATACGGAGGGTGTTCCACGAACATTTCACAAATGCATAAACTGAGAGGAGACTCAAGCTCGAGCCCGTGAGTGCGCTGAGGATACAGAGGCATGGCGGCTGTGAGGACAGGTGCTGAGCAGGTAGCACACGTGGGGTGGAAATGTCTGCTGCAGGCCTCAGCACGCTCCAGAGTGCATGTGCAATAGGCAGGCAGTCTGCTCCCCCCAGAGAATTGTCATCTCAAAGGGAGGAAGGTACCTCGCTGGGGGCCCAGCAGCTGAATGCAGGCTCCCTGGATTCTACAGGATTGCTTTCCTTGGTGCCTTGGGGTACATGACTTTCACAGTACAGGAAACTCTACTAACCTTGGATAAAGAGAGGGATAAAGCTCCCGAGCTCATAGCTTTCAGGGCCTCAAGGAAGGGCAGAGAGGGCAGGGGAGTGAGGGAGAAACCTGGGAAGCTCTGAGCACCTGCAGACTTCCAGCTCATATCCCTTCCATCGTGCCTCAGTTCTCCCAGCTCCCTGTGCAGACTTAGGTCTGATCTAGCAGAAGTATCTGATTGGCGGCTGGCCAGCCAAAGGGTGGCACCCTCCAACTCCACTCTTAGTCCAGTGGGCTCCAGACTCAGCTTGCTGGGGCAGGTCACGTTTGAAGAGGAAATGGGATTCAGCAGGCCAATGAGCTAATATCTGGGTTGTCCTGGATGATTGGTGGTTGACTCCAGAGGCTGCGTGATAGAGCAAAGAAGGCCTGAAACAGGCTCAGCCCACCTGGGCTCCATCTCCTCCCTCTAGAGCTACAGAATGCAGCTCATTCTCCCTCCCAGCCTCGGTTTCTGAAATTGCAAAATGGAAATAATAATGTGTTTGTCACAGGTTGTTGTGAGAAGAAAATAAGATAATAAAGAGGATAGTGCTCTGCAAGCCGTAGAGCTAGAGATGAGTTGTTTTATTTCACACCCAAGGGAGTGAATGTCTTGAGTTTTACTTTCCATGAACTCTTGGTCCGGCTCCCAGCCGATGCTGGGCACGGGTCAGATCTTACTCCTTCATCCACAGCTTGTGAGGGAAAATGCATGTAAGTCTTTCTGCAGACGGCACCAGGCTGGACCAGCTCAGCTTCAGTTGTAGTGCTGTTTCCAGAGGAAGGTGGGTTAGCCCTCTGGGTCTCACTTTCTCCATCTGCAAAAGGGGCTTGCAGAGGACTGCCTGGCCCAGCTCACACGCTGCTGGAGGATTACATAATCGCCTTCTCCCTGCTTGCCTTCTTTGCTCCACATTCGCTTTCTTCCCCTGCTCTCTGGAGTTTGTGGATGGTGGCAGCTGACAAGGAAGGAGCCCTTTGGAGCATTTCTATACCCTCAGCAAACTCTCCCTCCTGCCAACTCCTCTGAAACCCAGGTCACCTGCTTGCACAGCCCAACGCCAGATGAGAGTGCACTTTGCGTTCCTCTTTAATTGTTCCAAGTATGTCAGTAACTTTTCACAGCTGGATTCTAAACCTCAGAAGTTGTTGATGATCTCTTTTGGGAAGATCACAGATGCCCTCCATGCAGGAGCAGAGCAGGCACACGGCAGCAAGTTTGTTGAGGGAAAAAGGAACAGAGCAGCTCTCAGCACAGTGCCCTTGCTGACTTGACAGGCCCTTCCTTCCAGTTCTCAGCATCTTGACCTCTGCATGTTCCTCACTGTCCCCGCAGTCTCAGTTTCCCATACTTTGCATGCCTGGGACAAAGTACTTCTCTCTAGTGGGCCCACCAAGCTCCTTCCCCCTGGACCCCTTCCCACTGGTCCCTGGGATCCTGGGACACCAGCGAGGAGGGGCTGTCGCTCCTGAGCTCGCACCCAACTCTGCAGGCCCGGGTGTCATCTCTTGCAGCAGCTGACAGTGGCGCCGGCACCACTTTGGTGTCACTTTTAACACTGTGCGTTAACACCACCGGCTGACTGCACAAGGAGGCCCCGGCAGAGCCGCGTGCAGCCACACCCCACATGTGGAGTTGTTAATCCGGCAGTTGTTCAGCAGGTTCTCTGGGCCTCACCTCCAAACGTGTTACTTCTGGAGGGAAAGACGCCCACAGAACTGTACAAGCTCTCCAGGAAGGAATGGCAGAACCGGCCTGTCCTGCGTCGGCCAGGAAGAGAAGAGGAGGCATTTCTGAGCAAGGACATGCAAAGTTCTGGGGCCTGGATCTCTGCCACCTACATACAGTTTCCTAAATTAGAAGAATAAGAGGAAGGAGAGAACGAGGAAGAGGGAAATAGTGTCACCATACAACTTAAAATCTTTCCTTAAATCTGCAGTTTTATCCGTGCCACATGTTTTCAAAGAATATTTTATGACGTAATGAGAAGAGACAAAAGCAGTGAAAAAGCAAAATCACACATGCGATGTGTTTTCGATTCTGGGAATGTGTGGGGTGGATGTAGTTACAGTGTCCCAGGTCCAACTGCCCATTGCATCCAGGCACCCTGGAAGATTTCCCTTCCTCGCCCCTTGATATCAGGATGGTTGTGTGACTTCCTTTGGCCGGTGAAATGCGAGAGAAGTAACCTGTGTCACTTCCGGGTGATGGTGATCAATTGCTGGTGCAACCCTTCCCAGCCCGCTGTCCCCTGGCCTAAGCGGTCATAGAAATGCGTATTGATTTTGAAGGCCTAGAAGCTCAAAGGAGGCTCTATCACTGAGCCGCAGTATGGGAAAGAGCACCTGAGAGTCATCTGGATGCTTGTGATGTGGGTATGAGCAGAAGTGAACCTCTGTGCCTTGAAACCACTGAGATTTTGGTACAGTTTTTCCTGGCACATGATCTACATCGACTGATATAATAAGTATACAAAATAGATGGAAAAATATTATTGAGAAGCATTGCAGCGACTGGTAATTTTTGTTTTTACACTTTTCTAGATTTCTCCCATTTTTTACAGTCAGCATGTATTACTTTTACGATGTTTAAAAGTTCCCAGTCTTACGCATAGCTAGCTTTTTTGAGTAAATAAATGTGTCCTTGTACTGGGCTGTGTCTTTCACTATGTCATCTCACTGAATGCTCTGAAAACCCTAAAAGGATTTTCCCATTTTGCAAATGAGATATTTGAGTTTTAGAAAGATTAGGTGCCAGGTATTCTACACTCATTATTTCATTTATCTCTTCAGAGGCTCAGAATATTTTCTACCAATTTTAAAATTGGGGAGGCTTGGGGAAATTGCCCACAGTTAGTCACTTAGCAGTTGAAGAAAGTGAAATTAAAACAACCACCATCTCAACAGATACCCTTTATTGGATGCTTTTATGTGCTAGGTCTAGACATGGTCTCATTTAATCCTTTCAGTAACCCTGCGATGTAGGTGCTAATATTATCCTTACTTTCTAGGTTAAAAAATGGAGGCTCAAAGAGATTGAGCAACTGGCCTAAGGCCACACAGCTAGCAATCTGTAGAGCTGGGACTGGCACCTTGGTCTGTCTAAATTTTGGTCAGCTCATTTTGCTAAGAACGAGGCTGGTACAAAAGGTGACTTTTAGGTAATACATGCAAGAACATTTTTAAATTAAATTTCTAATTTTTAAAAAATTTTATGTTCAAAATTTTAAAGCCAAATGGTGCCACAAGGCTGATAATGAAAGGAAGCAGTCCTGCCTCGCCTCAGAGGAAGCTACTTTAAGTCTTTTAGCTGTTCCTTCTGACATTTCCTTTCATATTTCTAAATATCATTCTCTAGATGTATTTTTTTTTGAATATTATGTATTGGCTTCCTCCTGTGGAAAATTGCTGGTTCTCCACCAGCCACCATCCACAAACACACACTTTTCCTTCCAAGATAGTCCTATCACAGTTGCTAAATCAACACTCAGTTTTTACCGTATCATATCTACATATAGATTATTCACAGCTAAACAAGGGACTATATTATGGTTACAGTTGCAGTCTTGTACAGCTTTTTGTTTTCCCTGGAGTTAGTAATTACCTCAGTTTTTTAATTTAATTAGTTTTTGATGTAAGATTACTAATTCTTCCCACAAACCATGACAGTAAAACTCTAAAATTTCTCGTAATATAGTCAAACACATCTGGCAACCTATCAGTTCAGTTTTTTTTCTTGGAACCCTCCTGCTTCTACCTGGATCAGTTGCTCTCCTGGCCATTGTAGTAGAAGTTGTGAAATTTCTCTTCAACGTTACCCTGGGAATTCCCTTTCCCTCTGTCCTGTGTTGGTGCCTTGTTTTTTAGATCCTAAGTCATCTTCTTTCTTGCTTTACTCCCTTCATTTTGTTGTAATATACACGCCAATAGCTTCCTTGGAGGCTGCATATGGGAGTTCAGTTTTTGGATAATTGATTGACAGTTTGGCTGGAGGTATAAATCTCAGTTGGAAATCATCTCCCCTCAGAATTCTGAAGGCAGTTCTCTATTGGCATGTGGTGTTCTGGGTTGATGTTAAGCAGTCCGATGCCATTCTGATTCTCGATCCTCATGGTGTGACTTTTTCAGTCTCCAAAAGCTTCTAGAATTGTCTGCTTATCTTTTGTTTCTAAAAAAAATTTTCATAACATTTAATACTTATTCTGAAAAAAAATGCTTTTAATAAGTTAGACAAAATGGATAATTCCATAAATTAGCATTTATCTATTTTAACCCAGCCATCTATTTTATATTTAGAATAAGCCAGGGGCCAGATACTTTCCAGACTGTCATCACTATCACCACTACTCTGGAGGATTAGCCAATGCTCCAGGAAAGAGGTACCCGATTGGAGAGGAGGAGGTAACTTATCCCTGTTTGAGGAGTATTTGACCATTTACATGGAAAACCCACAAGAATAAACTGAAAGAAAAAGTTCTTGAAAATGACAAAATAATTGTGTAAGGTGACTGGATTCAAAATTAGTGTTCTATTATCAATGGCCTTCAAATACACAGGCAACAGCCAGAACTAAAATATAACAGAATAAGACCCCATTTGCAAAAGCAACCTAGAAATAAACTTTTTAAAATATGTGCAAAACCATTTAAATGCTGCCAAAGGATACAAATGTGAACTTACACCACATTCTTGGGTTAAAAAATCTCAACATTATAAGGATGCCAATTCTCCTAAATTAAGCTACACATCAACACAATCGCAGTGAAAATACTAACAGAATTTCTTGTGGAACTATACCAGCTGATTTTAAAGTTGATATGGAAAAATATACATGCATCCAGGAAAAGTTTGAAAACAGAAATGTAAAAAGCAGAGATAACCCCATCCATTATTTACTTGTATTTTAAATCTATTATAAAGCAAAAACAATTAAAACTATGGCACAAGTACATGAATAACCATATAATTCAGAAATTACTAGAAGTCTCCCAATATATATAGGAAGTTACCATATGATCAAGTTGGCACTTAAAACAGGATTTATCCATATTTGGTATTGGAACAATTGGCTACCCATCTGTAAAAGAAATTAATTTAGATCCTCACTTCACATGTTATACCAAAATAAATTCTACATGAATCAAAGGTTTAAATGAAACCCTTAAAGAACCAGAAGAAAGCAGGGGATATGGGAATGATCATCTATTGAGCCTTTACTTCAGCTCAGGGCCTGGTGATGGTAAGCAGGCCCAGCTCATGGACTGCTGGCTGAATAATGGACTGATTGACTATCAGGTCCTGTCCCATACAAGATGCTGTAGCAGCGGCTGCCAATTGCAGGCACTGGTCTAGATTTGCTACATGTCTTAGTCCATTTGTACTGCTATAAAATAATACCAGAGGCCGGGCGCAGTGGCTCATGCCTGTAATCCCAGCACTTTGGGAGGCCGAGGCGAGCAGATCATGAGGTCAGGAGATCGAGACTAGCCTGGCTAACCTGGTGAGACCCCGTCTCTACTAAAAATACAAAAAATTAGCCTTGCGTGGTGGTGCACGCCTGTGGTCCCAGCTACTCGGTAGGCTGAGGCAGGAGAATTGCTTGAAGCCCCTGGGAGGCGGAGGTTGCAGTGAGCCAAGATTGTGCCACTGCATTCCAATCTGGGCGATAGAGTGAAACTTTGTTTCAAAAAAAAAATTAGCTGGGCGTGGTGGCACGCGCCTGTAGTCCCCAGCTACTTGGGAGGCTGAGGCAGAAGAATCTCTTCAACCCGGGAGGTGGAGGTTGCAGTGAGCTGAGATCGTGCCACTGCACTCCAGCCTGGTGACAGTGCAATACTCCATCTCAAAAAAAAAAAAAAGAATACCAGAGGCTGGGTAATTTACAAGAAAAAAGGGTTTCTTTGGCTCGCAATTCTGCTGGCTGGAAGATTGGGCATCTGCATCTAGGGAAGGCCTCAGGCTGCTTCCACTCGTGGCAGAAGGTGAAGGGGAGCCATGTGTGCAGGTATCACATGGGGAGAGAGGAGGCTAGAGAGATGGGGGAGGGAGGTGCTGGTCTCTTTTGAACAACCAGCTCTCACAGAAGCTAATAGAATGAGAACTCACACCGCCCGCCTGTCTGCCATCCCCCAATCTCCTGAGAGGGAGGGCATTAATCTATTCATAAGAGATCTGCCCCCCATGACCCAAATACCTTTCACTGGGGATCAATTTTCAACATGAGATTTGCAGGGTGGGGCGGCAGGGGAGAGGCAAACATCCGAACTCTCACTACATGTCATTTGTCTGGTTCTACCAGTGTTAAAATAGTTTTCATTTTGGTCTGATATTTTACAAGGGATATTTCACATCAAAATCTGGATTTCGGGCTTTCCCTGAAAATGTATACTAATCTGGCAGCACTAGACCCTCATTCCTTCATGGACCAAGCAGCTGAGCCACTGCCCTTTAAAGGCCTGATGATGGGGCATGTGGTCTTGGAGTCCTGAGGAGCCAACAGGACCCAGTGAACAGGCAGGTAATGGGGAGCAGTGGCTGGTGGGCCCAGAGCCCTGGGGTAGGGGGTGAGGGGATGAGGCTGTAGCTGCGGCAGGGAGGGGCAGTTCCTGCGCTGTTGTGGTCACCCAGGCGAGAAGTTGTGGCAGAGGGAACGGGAGGGAGAGGCCTGGCTGGAGGGAATTTGGGACTTGAATCCACAGCTTGAGGACAGATGATGGGTGGGGGTGGGTGTGTGTGTGTGTGTGTGTGTGTGTGTGTTGGGGTGGGCAGGGGAGCTTAGCTGTTGGAGGAGGACGTAAGGAAGCACCCCAAGAGGCTCACACAGACAGGTAAATGCTCATGAACATGTAGACCAGATCCACTCACCCTCCTGCTTAAAACCCAAGCACCCTACCCAAGAGGCCCGGCCCCTGCCCACCCCATACCTGAGAGGCCCAGCCCCTGCCCACCCCTTACCCCAGAGGCTGGGCCCCTGCCCACCTGATCCTTTGCTCTCACTCTGTGTTCCCTTGTACTCCAAGCCATGCAGGCCTTGGGACATCCTAGAACCAGTCAAGGACTTTTATTGACCTCAGGGCCCTTGCACTCACTGCTCCCTCTGCCTGAGATACTGTTCCCCTGACTCCTTAGCTGGCCAGTTCCCGCCTCATCTTTCAGGTTTCCTCTTAAATATGCTCTCCTAAAGGAAGTCTGGGATACACTCCTAGAGGCCAAGGGACAGCAGGAATGCTGACTGCCAAGGGGTCCTCGGGCCCGTGGAAAGAGGAGTAGATTTCTGAGTGCAAAGGGAAACCTTTGAAGGGCTGGGGTGGGGGTGGGGCGATGAAGCAGCTGGAACTGATTTACCCCCTGAAAGGCTGCCAGTAGCACCCCATGGGAAACCACAGGGCTGGAGTAGCCACCGGGGAGAGTTGGAGCGCTTGTGCTGGTGACAGGCGCAGAGGTAGTGCAACTGGAGAGAGGACATGGGGCATTCTAGAACCCACAGGACTTGCAGAAATGAGGGAAGGAGTAGGGTGAGAGCCATACGCAACAGGGAAAAGAGTCGAGCGGGGTGGCGCGGTTTCCAGCCCCAGCAGGGGGTGGGAAGTGGTGCCAGTTTCCTGAGGTGGAAATCCAGGGAAGGCACGAAGCAGGTGTGCTTTGGAAGAACAGCTCTGGCGCAGCGCCTCTTCCTGTCGGCCCCCTTCTACAGTGCGCCTAGACACAGTGTGACAGCGCAGGGCTGCGCGGGCATCCCCAGCTCCGTGGTTCTGGCTCAGGTCGGCGGGGAAGCCTGGATCAAGGCACGGTGTCCCCGCGCCGCCCGCTGCCCTGGCTGCAGCACCGCCAAGGGCAAGGGCACGGCCATGACCGGGTAGGAGGCGGATCCCACCTGTGAGCCAGTGAGCCACTCAGCCTCCTGGGAAGAGCGAAGATCAAAGCGGAACCCCACGTCGCGGGGCTGGGGAGGGAAGGGCGTGAAGGCCTGTCCTCTGCGAGGCTTCGGGCGCCTGGAGGCAGGGTGGGAGGGCAGGGCGAGGGGGCTTTGTCTGCGCGGAAACGCCCTGCCCTGCGCCCGCACAAAGGCCTCTTTGTGCCCGCTGCCGGCGGAGGTGGGGGCCGCGCGTTCCCGGAGCCCCCTGCCCCGGCCCGGCCCGCGGCCCCGAGGGGGCGCCCGCCACTTCGCCGCCGCCAGCCCGTGGCCCCGGGCGCCAAAGGGCCTCTTAATTGTTCCCAGAACGGGTGGCATTTAGGTCAATTAATATGCAAAACAGGAGTAAATCATCTCATTCGCGGGCCCCACGCGGGGCGGGGAGCCGAGGCATTTGCTAGGCAGCGAGGTCGCGGCCCCCGCCGCGTGTTTATCTGGGGAAATGGAAATCAGGCGACGCACAAAGCCGCCCCGCGGGCCGCGCCGCGCCCTCGGCCGCCCTCGGCTGGGTCGCCGGCGCCGGTCCCGACCCGCTGCCCGGGCTGGCGGATCGGCTGCAAACCTGGGGCCGCCTCTGGCCCTGTAGCCCAGAGGCTGTGCACCGTCGGGCGGCGCACCGCCCCTCTCTGGGCCACCGTGCCTAGCGGGTGATAGCAGGAGTTCTGTTATTACATAAATCAGGTACTGGGAGAACAGTACGATCCCCTAAGTGCTTCGAATTGGTGCTTGCGTGCTCCTGACCCATTACTCTGCTACTGAGCCTTGACTGAAGTCCAAAGCCTACTTGCATTCCTGCATTTAATCCTCAAAATCGCACTAAGAGACAGGTGATTATTCCTGTTGTTCAGCTGAAGAAACCGAGGCAGAGAGGTGAAGACCGTCACCTGGCCCGGACCAAGCCCTTCACCATTAAGCTGTGAGCCCCAGGCCTCTGTGATTTCACTGGGCAGCTCCCTTCGCTGGGGAAAAATGGCCCCTGCAGGCAGAGTTCTGTGAGCCTGGCTACTACTGCACCAGCCTTACTCATTCTCCTTGAATTCCAAAAATGTAACAGGACCCACTGCGCACCTGCACTCTTCCAGACTCTTCTAGACCACAGGGAACAAAACAGGAGATTCTGGCCTTGTGGGACACCAGCGAGAGGACCACCAGGAGAAGCCAGCGGGTTGACAGGGACTGGCCCCTTGAAGGAGGTGACACCTGAGCAGAGATCTGAGGGAGGTGAGAGAGACTTCCAGGAAATGACCTTGAAGCTGCAGCATAAGGAGGCCAGGGAGGCGGGTGTGTGGAGCAAAGTGGGAGGGATGGAGACAAGGCAGAGGTGACCAGGGCTGGGACTGGGGGTGCTGGCTCCAGTTCCAGCTGGACACTGGAGTCTCTGGGTTCTCTTGGTCTGGGGACAGTCTGTGCATGGGGAATTGTAAAGGTTTCTGCTTGGCTCAGCCTGGTTCAAGTGGCCCCACCCTGGGCTAATTGGCAATGGCCAGGGGCAGGTCACATACTGGACACACTCCCGTCAGCTGGACACCCACCCCGATCCATACCCACTATGCAAGTGGACCCCAAACCTGGGCGGCAGGCAAAGTCAAAAGCAGTCCAGGGAGCCAGCGTCCGAAAGCCAGAGACATTTCTGAAGGTTGTCAGTCTGTGAGGACAGACACAGAGCCTGGAACTGAAGATCTGGAGAACCCACGTGCACTGGGGCCAAGAGATGAGGGGCATCAGGTGTCCAGACGTGATGGAGGTTCGGGAGGGAGGGGAAGGCGAACAGGGAGTGTTCAGAGCTAGGTGAGATATTTTAACAAACAGGAAAAGCTGATGATGCTGGTCCCATACAGTTGTTTCTGTAGGAGTTCATGGGGGCAGGGGTTACCAGAGGAGAGTTTGCAAATGTTTCCTGTAGGATGCCCTCTCTGTGGCGATGTACTTAGTCATCAGTCAACTACCTGGACAGCCCTGGCTTTTCCCCTCTCTCCCCACCACTGCCATGCGTTCATCAAGCCTGCCCATTCTTGCTCCTTAATGCCTCTCCCCAGTCCCTTCCTTTCCATTCCTGAGGTTCTGTTTTGGTGAAGATGATCAGTCATCTTTGGATCATTGCAGCGGCTTCCTCCCTGATCATGCTACTCTCAATCTTGCCTTCAATTCACACTCCAAATAGGGCACCACAGGGATCTTCCAAACACATAAATCTAAGTTACCACCCTGGTTAAAACCTTCTATAATTAACAACAACAACAACAACAACACAACCTGATTTTAAAATGAGGCAAAGGACTTAGGCATTTAACCAAAGAAGATATACAAATGGCCAGCAAGCACATGAAAAGACACCCATCGCTCATCTTTAGGGAACTGCAAATCAAAACCACAACGAGATACCATTTCACACCCATTAGGATGGCTATTGCACAAATATGGTCCATTGCATAAACATATCTCTTCTCCTGTTGAATGTCTGGGCTGTTTCCAGTTTGGAGCTATTATGAATAAAGCTGCTGTGTATTGGGAGACAATTCCCCATGAGTCTCTCGCATTTCTGCACATCTTATGAGTAAGGCACTGACTGACCTATCTTTTCATGGATGTTTGTATTGCAAAGAGTTTTGGAAGATCAAGCGTCTCCCTCTGGAGCAAAGGGCAAGCATGCTTGCTTCCCATTATAAAAGATCCGGGTTCCCTAAGCTCAGGGTTCCTCTCCTGTAATGCAATTCACTACAAGTGCAGGATCCATCTGGGCCCACTCACATTGTCCTGTGGGACTTGGGGCAAAAGGAACGGATGCAAAAATGCTGATACACATGCTGCTTGCTGTGCTGTGAGGAATAACATCCTTTGTCTCTGACTCATGGTTCTGGCATCTTCTGCCAGCCTCTCAAGAGCCTAACTCATTACCTTACAAGTTGAGTAAAATTTCAGACCCTTTATAGTTCTTGACACTAAGTATTCTTGTACAAGTGTTTCTATGAACATATAGTTCCCCACTTCTTCGTCCTTCCATCCTGCTGCCTGGAGTGCAGACCTGATGGCTGGAGCTCTGGTTACCATCTTGACCCATGAGGACCAGAGACGTAGTGGATAGAAGGAGCATGGGTGTCGAAGGTTTTGCAGGTCAGAATGACCATACTGTCCCTGGAATTTTACAGGAGGGAAAATGCCTTGCTTACACCACTGTACTGTGGTGTTTTCCAACCCTATCTAATGCAGCCCATGTCGTGGCTCATCCTGTCTGAGACGTCTTCCCGCCCTCCCTTCCTTTGTTCACTAACATGTATCATACTAACCTCAGCGAATGACTCTTCATGTTTCCAGTTCTTCTCACAGTGATTGCTTCCTGTATCCTAGGGCCTTGTACAGTGTCTGGCACAGTAGTAGGTGCTCAGGAGTAGGAGCTGATGAGGTGAACAAATACATAAAAGAAATATGCAGGTTGGCAGAGATGATGGGAAGCGGCGTTCTCACTTAGAGGAACAGGTAGAGCATTAGGTTGTCAGAGAGGGAGCCAGAGCTATCATCCTGTGCTGTGTGACACCACCACAGCTCTTTCCTCTCTGGGCTCAGTTCTCTGGCTCTGCAATGTGGGCTTTGGCTAGGATGATGAATGCCCACGGTCCCCACTGATTCTCAAGCCCTGTGCAAACTCCGAAATTTGAGTACTGCTTTCGTGGCAATGCCTCCGTGCTTCTCTCTCCTGTAACTTATGTTTGACCAATGGCATCACTCGATGGCTGAGAAAGGTCCTACCCCTTGCTGGGCCCAGGACTGCTCTGCAACCCAAGCCTGGGGAGACATGGGTGCCTGGGCAGCTTAGCAGCTGGGGAGACTGACAGCTTTAGTGAGCCCAGCGGGTGGCATCAAGTTTCTGGGTGCCTGGTCACCATGTTAATCTGCTCTTGGTACCACTAATACCAATTTGTGAGCAGACAGCCAGGATCAGACAGGCCAGCTGTCAAGCAACTGTGGACAGCTCAGTGTGTGGTTTGATTTTATGGCTTAGGGCTGGAATTACAAATTAATTAGCAAATTTAAGTTTCCGGAGATGCTTCAGATAGGTAGCTCCCAGGGACCAGGTGACACTAGTTTGACCCAGTGACCCCAGCCCAGGTCCTGCCACCCACCACTACCACCACCGAGGGACTCAGAAAGAGTCGTCTTGTTTCCAGCACCACCAGCACCCTGCTGGGGGACCCAGGTGGGCCCCTCTCCCTCTCTAGGCCCAGCCTCTTCGTCTGTACACAAGGAGCAGGGCCGGATGCTCTGTCTCCTCCACGCCAGCATTCTGGGATTGTAATTAGGCACAAGATGTCTAGTGTGTGGTGGAGCCAGCAAAGCTCTCTGTCCATGCTTCTGCCTCCAGTGCAGGTGGGAGCACTTCCCCTGCTTTACCCCTGTAACCTTTACTGAACTCCAGGGATCCCTGTTTCCAGAGAAGACAGGCAATAGAGTGGAGTGATCTAAAATTACACATGCAGCTGTGTCGCCCCTCCAGCCAATCCCCACCCTCCAACAGGGAGGTTTCCCAGTGCCCTGATGGTGGGGTGGGGTCTCCAGATGCCCCACTGGGCTACAGGCCCTGCCTGTCCTGGCGCTGCCTTTCATCCCCTCTCGTTGCCCATGAACCTCAGCCTCACCAGCTCCTCCCTAGTCTTCCTAAGGGCTAGCCGCCTTCCTGCCTGCCACAGGATCCCAGCATATGCTGTTCCCTCCACCTCCCCAGCATCCATCCCTTCCTCCAGCCTGTTGTCCTGCAGGCTAATGCCGCCTCCTTGGAGAAGCCTGACCTCACACCCTGTTCACTGCTCTCTGAGTGCCCTGCACCTTCCCCAGCACCCCTCATCACAGAGGGAAGCACTCACTCTTGGGGTCTCTTGTTATTTCATACTGCCCCATCCCCCCATCAGGACTGTGAGATCCATGGCACAGGAGCACATCTGTTTTATTCACCAGTTTTTTCAGAGCCTACTAGTGGTCTCCCAACATTGATTCTCTCCTTCTCTCTCCCAGTAAGAGATCTCTTGATTTTTAGCTTGGCCTATGTTCACCCAAAATAAAGACCACAGTTCCCAGTACCTTTGCAGCAGGTTGTGACCACGTGATCAAGTTCCAGCCAATGGAGTCCAAATGAGCAGGCTGTGCACGGCACCTGGCTGTGCCTTTCCTCTTTCACGTCCTCCTGCTGATGCAGGAGCTTGAGCAGTGTAGATGTGAGGTGTGAGGATCGTACGAACAGGAGCTCACTCCAGAAATGCAGAGCAACAGGTAGAGGGGCCTGAGCAATGCAGCAGCTGTGGCTTTGACAAGCAAGGAGTCAGCCTCTGTCTTGTTAGAGCCACTGTCATTCTAGCCCAGGTCATATAACTGCACCCTAAACCTAATTTGTATACCCCTACATCTGGTAGGCACCTGGTAAACATTTGCTGACTAAATGAGGAATTGAATGAATGAACGAGCAAAGTATTGGAAAACCAGAACTAATGATCCTAAGCTTCAAGCACATTTTGGATTCCAAGAGCTTTTATGGGCTGACCTGGGACCTAATAAACATTATTTGCTTGAAACATGGCCCAAGTCCTCCACAGATGGGCTTGTGTGTCCACAGACAGTGGCGGGCTTCATTGGCCCAGAGATGGGGCCTGTTGATCTTTGTCTTCCTGACACAGCCATAAGGCTCAAGGAGGCTCTTCCTGTGGCTAGCTGGCCCCCACCAAGTAGAGGGTGTCTCTTTTTTCTTCTTCTTCTTCTTTTTCTTTTTTTTTGAGATGGAGTCTTGCTCTGTCGTCCAGGCTGGAGTGCAGTGGCCCAATCTTAGCTCACTACAACCTCTGCCTCCCAGGTTCAAACGATTCTCCTGCCTCAGCCTCCTGAGTAGCTGGAATTACAGGCACATGCCACCACGACTGGCTCATTTTTTGTATTTTTAGTAGAGACAGGGTTTCACCGTGTTAGCCAAGCTGGTCTCGATCTCCTGACCTCGTGATCCACCCACCTTGGCCTCCCACAGTGCTGGAATTACAGGCGTGAACCACCATGCCTGGCCAAGGGTGTCTCTTTACCAGGGCTCCACCAAGCCGAAGCCCTACTAATCATGGCAAGTACGTGCCAAGACCCTAAGAGTGAAAGCAAGACCAGATTTCATCCCAAGTTCTTTTTAGAAAGGTAGAAGTATTTTTTTTTTAATGGATGCAAAAGCTTTGAAAACTGGTGATATATGAAGACGGTTAAATAATAAATGTTTTGACAAGGGGGTCTGTCAGGACAGGCACCGCAAAAACGTAGGTAGAACTTGAAAATGTCCCAGAATCTGTAGTTGCCAATGCCTGAGATTTCTTCCTTTGGGTAAAGTAACCACAGAGTTTTTGAAATGCAGATAACCCTTGAGGGGGCATCCTGTAAGCCATTCTCAGTGATCTGTGGCTCTGTGTGTGGGCATGCGTTTATGAGATCCTTGCAATGGATTCAGAGCAGGTTTGAATGGAGGCGGGTGGGGAGAGAGGAGAAGGGGGCTAGGCGAGGAGATTAGGGAGGCCAGGCTGCTGTCCACCTATCTCGAAGGTGCCGCTTCCTAGATGTTGGCAGGAGAATGGGGCATTGATACGTACTTTACAAGAAAGAAAGGCACACGGCAGAGGTCACCCGGTCACTGCCGTCCCCAGCTGAAAGGGTTACCTGAGGCCATGGAGGCCAGCTCCCTGCCTCAAGGCACAGATCTACCCAAGCCACATTGGACAGATGTGCAACAGTGTACATTTAGGCTGCGAGTGTTATTAATTACCCGCAGAAGCCATGAGCTCAGGGAGATTCCCTTGGCTTAGGTCTTCCACATCCTGCCAGAAATGCAATGCAGGTGGGTTGGGCTGCGGAAACTGGATGGACTAAAGTTCAGGCTTAGCAAGAAGATATATTGGTAGGTGATTATGTGCTTTGTGAAAGCTTTGCTGTACAAAAGGGAACCACCCCCCTACCCCAACCGCCACCCTTGGATTCCACCCACCCACGTGCCCTGCCGGGAAGATGTGGCCCCATCTGCTGTTGTGGAATTGTGTTGGAAACCTTTGGGGATAAAGGGGAAAGAGCAACTAGCTTGGCCATCCATGACCTGGAGCTGGTCCCCACCCGTACCTTGCTTTTGGGTGACTTTAGGCAAATCACTGCCCTGCTCTGAGCCCCACTCTCCAACACCTCTAAGGCTCAGCACCGTCTCTTGGGGTGCTTACAAGCCGTGTGTCCTTGTGCAAGTGACTCAACCTTTCTGAACCACAGCCTTTTCAGCCACAGAAAGAGGAAAGTCATGACACCTATCTCAGAGGCGTCTTGTGAGAATTAATTCAGATACCAATGACAGGCGCCCAGAATGAAGAGGCCGGCCTATTCAATGCAGTGAAGAGGCCCAGCCTGTTACAAACCTGGGCTCCAGACTCCAGCCCAGCACTGCCTTCTGAATCACATCGGTTGGTCCCTGGGTGGGTCTCTGTTGCAGAGGGTGGAGGGGCAGCCTCCAATGCAACAAAACTTACTGAGCCTTCAGTCAATATTTGAAAAATCAGGAGACCTGTCTCTCTCTCTCTCACTCTCACACATACGCACACACTCTCTCACACATGCACACATAACACACACACACACCCTGCATTTCTGCCTTCTCTAGAAAAAATCAGAAGACCTGGCCACCCTCGGTGCCAATTCCTGCCAGATGTCAAGCAGCTGTTGCTGAATAGCAGCTGCTCCCTTTGGACTGGAGCAGGAATGTGTCATTCCTCCATAGTCCCGCCCCTCCGGAAGGCCTCTCACCTGGGCCCCGCCCTGCTCCTCTGGGCCTCTGTCACCGATTACTCTCCTGTCTGTTCTGTGTCTGTGGGGCTCATGTCTCTTGCATCTTCGCCCTGCACCCTGACTCCCAGAGCCAGCCCAGTGCTGAGCCCAGCATTGGGTGCAGTGGATGCTGGTTGGCTGCGGTCCTTTGTGCTTTGGTGTGCAGGGCCCTGCATGCCCACCCTACGGGGCTGGCCGGGTCTCACAACCAAGTAGGTGCTCATGGTGAAATGAACCTTTGAGCTCAATGCAACTGGACAGATGCTCATTTCAAGAAGATCAGAACTCGATTTCTGTGCTCCCTGGGGGTGCCGGGCAGCAAACAGAACCTGACCTGGCTGGGGAGCAGGGTGGCGGCTGACCCAGGAATGCATAGCCATGTGCTGGAGGCTGGAGCCCCTGTCTTGTTCTCCTCGCAGCCATGATGTTTGGTGGAGGCCCCGGGCTCCCCCTCTTTGTTCTGTGAAGAGCAGAGGCCACAGAGAGCTCCTGTCCCTGTCTGTGAGGCCAGTAGGACTAGTGTTCCCTGTTTAAGGGAAAGGTCTGCAGATAGGCCCCCATCCATGAGCCGTACAGGTCAACTCTCCATCCCACCTATGAGTGCACACTGAGCCTCAGCCATCCCGAGCCCTGCCCTCTGTGCTGCAGGGATGCCCAGAAACCATTCCTGCCTTTAGTCATGGCTGGGATTAGAGTAAAACATGAAGCTGAGGAGTGAGGCCACAGCAGGGGGCTGGGAACCCTTGGGAACAAGTTCTGTGGACACCCCATGGAAAGAGAGGGCTGAGGACTGTAGGGAGGGAGGCAGTCAGGGAGGGCTTCCTGGAAGAGGTAGGGAAGGGACTACAACTCTAGAAGGAATGAGCTGTCTGTGAGTACACTTTGACTGTTAGCATCTCTCCCCTTCCTTAGAGCCCAAGTCCTGAAAATGTCCCCTCAAGCACATATGAGCAGGTAGTTTAGATTTCAGTCTATGCAAAAAAGCAGCTGCAGGAGCCATTCTCCATGGAACAGCATCTCTGGTCACCTGTCAGCAGCTCAGAGGCCCGGCCACAGTCCTGGCTGTCCCCTGTGCCTGGCCTCCACTGCCTGTCTCCGGCCCTTGCCCTCCCCATTCCCTGGTCCTCCACATGGTCCACCCTCTGCCCTTCCAGGTCAGTGTGGCCCTCCGTCGTTCCTGCTGCTCCCCGGCCACTGCTCACTGCCAGCTCTCAGCGAGTCTCTCTGCCCCCTGGATCCTTCTCTGTGTGTTTTGCTGCCCAAAGCCCCAAGAGACAGCATCTGCTTGGCTGGACAGACACTGGGCACTGTGCCACACTCCAGCCAGGCTACTGACAGCTACCCTGGGCCAATCTCTGAGGTTGGCCTCCCCAGCTGTGGCCTGAGCAGCGGGGTTGCATGGAGGTGCTGGCCCTCCACAGGGCAGCAGCGTGGCAGAGTCCTTGGCTGTGTAGGGGGAGCAGTTTAAGAACCCTCACATCCAGTATCAGTCCAGCAATTCCCAGCCCTCAGGGCACCCTCAGGCAGTGCCACAGCCAGGCGGGAAGAACAGAGGCTGACCAGAGCTGAGAGACGCTGTCTCTGACGCTGCTTCCAGTATGCCTTGCACCAGGGCCCCCCGTGGGACCCAGGTGGCAGCTTTGCTGCGACAAATGCAAACCCCATCCTGTGACACCAGCCAAGGAAGCAGGCATCGCCAACAGCTTGGCGCTCACCAAACCGTAAGACTTTTTGGGCAAAAGATTTTGTTCTCTCTGCCCCACCAAACACTTGTCTCCTTTGATTTTGCCATTGTTCTTTCCAGGGAAATCTAATTTTAAAACAAAAAAAACCCATGTTTCCTAACCAACAGGACACATGTGTGTGCCAACAAATATTTGATCTGAAAGCAAGTCTTTGCTCAGTGTAAGCTTTGTTTTTAACGGACAGGACAAAACACCGGGGCCAGCTGTGCAGAGCATGTGTTCGGCCCCGGAGGCCCCGTGTTCCTTTCAGCTCGGAAATCTGGCTCGAGGTGTCCAGCTGGGACTCCATCGTAAGGGTCACATAGTTTCCAATCGGGAGGGTGAGGCGGGGCCCGGTGGCAGTAAGATCTTCCCTTTCAATAAAGAACCAAAATATCCCAGTCTGCAACATTATGAACCCCGGATGTGTCTCCACACACAAAGCCGCTTGCAAAATAAAACCACATTTGAGCCCTGGCCAGGGATGATGTTGAAAACAATGCAGCTAATAAGTCACTGGCTGCTGGATGAAATCAAACTGTTTTTGTTTTGTGGCAGTTTCTCAGCTTCTGGGGCAGCTCTTCCGCCCCAGGGGGAGAGCCTTGTGTCAGCCTCTGTCTTCCTCCGCTCCAGAGATGCTGCCGGGTCCCCACAGGCCTGGGGCTCCTAGGGCAGACCTCAGTAACCCACACATATACTCAGTCACATCTTCCACAGCATGGGCTAAATCACACCCTAGACCCAACCCCAAAAAGAAGAAAAAATACCAGTTCCATCCAGTGGCAAGAAACCTCAAAGGTCAGTGGTGACTGTCGGGTGTCTGGATGTCTCTGGAATCAGCGCTGTGTTGGCAGCGGGGTTTATACCATGGAAGCACCAAGCAGGGATGTGTGGGGGCTCCCATGTTAGGGGTAAATCCGAGTGTGAAGTGAATGCCCGCCGCTCAGGGGCTGAGCCTCACACACTATGAAACCTCTCTGGGCTACAGTTTCTCTTTCGTGCTGTGGATGTGTATTTCACCACCTCATGGGGTCAGAGGTGGGGAGGAAAGGGAAGAAATCCGTGAGGCCCAGGCAGAGGCTGCAGAGCGCCCTGCCCATACACATTCTCCTGGGGCTGCCTTAGAGACACAAGCCTAGTGTTTCGCTGAGCACAGGGCCGCCTAGTCTCCCTAGTGGCTGGGTGTGGCCACGTGAGTGACCTGCTGGCTGCGAGCATAAGTGCGACATGGAGCTTCTG